TTTGTTTTCCAATTTACATCAGGAAGATTAAAGTCACCCATGATGATAACTTCCCCCTTCATTGTCATTTTAGCTATTTCCTCAACTAGTAGATTATCTAACTCTTCAATTTGTCCTGGGGGCCTATAAATCACACCTACACGAGTTACTGTGTGATTACCAAATTCTAACGTAGCCCAAACGGACTCTATGTTTGCCTCACTAACTTTTATTAGGCTAGATTTTATGCTATCCTTCACATACAAGGCCACCCCTCCCCTTTCTTGCCTTCCCTATCTTTCCTATATAAAGAGTACCCTGGTATTGCTATGTCCCAGTCATTTTTCTCATTGTACCATGTCTCAGTAACAGCGACTAAATCTACACTATCAGTTGCCATTATTGCCACAAGTTCATGGATCTTATTCCCTAAACTGCGAGCATTTGTAGACATGACTCTAAGCTTATCATTTTTTAACACACTTGCTACAGGCACCTTCTGTCCTTGTTTTGGGGGACAATTGGATTGATGTTTTATCACCCTTTTGTCCCCCCCTCCTAGTTTAAATACATCCTAGCAAAACCTCTGAACTGCTCACTGAGAACATTTGTTCCCTTTTGAGAAAGATGCAAACCATCTTTTTTGTACAGCTTATCTCCATTCCAAACAGAGCTACCATGAGAAATAAAGCCAAATCCTTGCTCCCGACACCATTCACCAAGCCACAAATTAAAGTCCCTAATACGCATCCGCCTGTCGTTCTGAGTGTTATGCACAGGCAGAACTTCAGAGAATGACAGTGTGGAAGCAACCTGCCGTATATCATTGGCAAAAACACTAAAAACTTCCTTAACCTCTGAAACCTCATTGCAAGCCAAGTCATTTGTCCCTAGATGGACAAGTACATCCAATTCCCCTTCCTGCTTTGCTTGCTTAACAATATTACAGATACGTCTCCTGTCTCTGTGAGCAGTAGCTCCGGGAAGACACCTCACAAGACCACCATTGTCCATCTCCACACCTCTTATAATGGAATCACCCAACAACAACTGCTTTCTATTAGGCCTCACCATAGTCTCCAAGGCGGTCTCAACAACACCACTAGCCTCAATGCCTCTCTCCACAACACCACTAGCCTCAGTGCCTCTCTCCACAACACCACTAGCCTCAGTGCCTCTCTCCACAACACCACAAGCCTCAGTGCCTCTCTCCACAACACCACAAGCCTCAGTGCCTCTCTCCACAACACCATTACACTCTGAAAGTGCAGAAAATGAATTATGAAGAGCAACAGACTGTGCAAAATGCCTTTTATCCACAACTCTAAGTCTACCAGATCCTACAGAAATCCATCTGCCTTTCCTAGCATGTCTCTGCGGCAGTGGCTTTGCAGCAGTTCCAGTCTGAGTTTCTACACCAGATAATTTACAAATCTCAGACTTCAAAAATACAATCTCCTGCCGCAAGATAGAGAACTGTCTACAGATTAGACAACAACCAAACCTCCAAAAAGTGGAACGTGAAACAAATGCATAGCAATTGTTACACTGAACTAAGCCTGCCATTCCAATTATGAGAATAATTTAAATCTAACAAATCTTAACTTTTTTCTTTATCCTCCTGAATACCTCAGATTACCTCCAGGTTATCTCCAGAATATCTCCAACTAGACACTTAGAAACAGCACTTGGAAGTAGCCCCAAGCTATATTAGACAAGCTAATGAGACCAAGCCTTATATAACTCCTTAAATCACCGCCCACTAGGAATGTTTACCCAACTAGCTTGTTAACAACGTGTGCGGCTGTAACCCCATTTCTCTATGCTATCATGCACTTTATCATTTAAGGAGTGTGGCATATAAATGGAGCAAATATACATTGATCATCCACAACATTAAAACCACCTGACTAATATCGTGTAGGTCCCCCTTGTGCTGCCCAAACACCTCTGATATGTTGAGGCATTGACTCCACAAGAATTCGGAATGTGTAAGGTGGTATCTGGCACCAAGACAATACCAGCAGATCCTTTAAGTCCTGCAAGATTCAAGGTGGATCCTCCATGGATCATTCCAACACATCCCACAGATTCTCAATCACATTAAGATCTGGGGAATTTGGAGGCCAATGGAAAACTTTAAACTCTTTGTCATGTTCCTCAGACAATTCCTGAACAAATTTTGCAGTGTGGGAGGGTGCATTATACTGCTGAAAGTGTCCATTGACATCAGGGAACTCCACTGCCATCAAGAGGTGTACGTGGTCTGCAACAATTTCTAGGTAGGTGGTATGTCTCAAAGTAACATCTACATGAATGCCAGGACCCGAGGTTTCCCAGCAGAACATTGCTTCCACTGGCCTGCCTTTTTCCCAGAGTGCATTCTGCTGTCATCTCTTCCCCAGGTAAATGACGCACCCGGCCATCCACCTGAAACATGACTCATCAGACCAGACAACTTCCTTCCATTGCTCCATGGTCCAGTTCTAACACTCACATCTCCATTGAAGCTGCTCTCAGAGATGGACAGTGGTCATCATGGGCACTCTGATTGATCTGGGGTTACGCAGCCCCATACACAGCATACTGCAATGCACTGTGTGTTCTGACACAATTCTGTCATGGCCAGCATTACGTTTTTCAGCAATTTCAGCTATAGTAGCTCTTTGTGTGTTCGGACTAGCATTCACTCTCCATGTGCATCAATGAGCCTTGGGCACCCATGACCCTGACACCTGTTCACAGGTTGTCCTTCCTTGCACCACTTTTGATAGGCAACACCCCATAAGACTTGCCATTTGGAGATTACTTTTGACTATTTGGCCCTTGTCAAAGTCACTCAGATCTTTTTGTTGCCAATTTATCCTGATTCTAACAACCTCAAGAACTGACTGTTTAGTTTCTGCCCATCCTTTGCAGGTAGGATTTATTAATCTGTATGTGGTTTTAATGTTGTGGCTGATCAGTGTAAAAAGACAGAATAACATTATTTGGAAAGCGAAGAGAAATTTATGTCAATGCATATACTGCACACAGGGGTTAGTGAGCCTTAACTTGCTTCTAAACCTACTGCATTAAAACCTTTCACCCACAGCGAAATCCACATATTGTGCTGTACAACTATTTCCAAATATGGTGCATTTAAATGGCATTGTCAAATTATACAAATGTTTCTTTAGTATTACTGGGGACTTAACTTAACAATGAAAGAGTACCTAAATCAGATGCAGGGATTATTTAGGAACTCACTCAGAGCTCCATCCTATATAATTGACAACTATGCCAAATACTCTGTACCCCTGTAGGTCATAGCTAAAAGCCAGTGTGACCTATTAGACTACCTGAATGGGATCTTCTAGCTAAGCACATTACTCATTCCATTCTTGTTGCAGTAAATGGCTTATGAATGGAGCAGTTGAGTTAGCTGGAACATACCATTCAGACACATTAGGGGTGCAGTTATGCAAACTTACCATACACATTTTTCATACAGCCATCCCACTGTGAAAAACAAAATTGCAATAATTTTCCATTAGCAATTGGATTTCTGTTATATGGCTCTGGACCAGAATAGGGTCTCTTCGTCACTTTGTCTTCCTCATTCTCTTCAGCTACCTTGGCATTAACATAGCAGTCATTATAGCTCTTATCCCCATACACTAGTCGAGACTTAATGAGGGTAAAACAAGTACTAATTTATTAGCACAACACACACCTATTTATACATGGTTAATGTGTATTCATCATCCATTGAGTGATCCACAAAGTCTATGCTGATAAGACTTAATGAGGTCAGTTCAGGCTAATGACATTTCCTACCTGCTGTATCATCCCGAGACAGAAATGCAAGGGTATCCATGCTTGTGGGACACTGTCCATAGTCTGTGGAAAGGGGGTTGGCCTCCAAGACCTTCCATGAGCCAGGGTAACATAGACTTCCCTCACAATTCTAAAGTGACAATAAAGGAGCAAACATGTTTTTATAATTGTATATATAAAGAGGATTTCCCTAATTATAACTTATTGCCTTGCTTTTGTTCCTAGTGAAAGGAAAGGTCTCTATTACCATTGAGAGCAGCCGCCATATGCTATTCCTATTTGACCTAAATGAAACAGAGAAAACGGGTCTTGTGAGGTTAACAGACTACAGAACAACGTTTGATATTTATCCTGAGAAGACTGGAAAACATAAACTAAATATTTATGCAAAATCCCATGATTCAGAGGGAGATTACCACTGTGTTTCAAGTTACGTTGTAGATTGTAAATCTTTAGATACCTCCATGAAGATCCCTAAGTGTCTCCAAATACCTGCAGGTCCAAGTTGGTTATCAGAGAAAGCAGGACTTTTTCAACCCTCTCACCCAGACCCAATAATTTACACTAAGGACGGCTCTTTCACTGTCAGCTTTACAATGAAGCAGAATTTGAGTCTTTTTTGTACTTTGAGCTCTGATGACCTGCAGATGACTTCAGAGATGCAGCACAGACACATCTTCCAAAAACAAAACAAAGAAAGAGTGGAGTTCAAGGTTCGTCTTCCTCAATCAGGAACCTTTGTACTAAGTGTGAATATTAAGGTTAAAGACAGAGAAGTGTATACCAATAAATGCAACTATCTCATCATATGCTCTAATCCAGCTGTTCGCTGGCCAGTGTTCCCCTTGAGTTATTCAGACTGGGCCATGCACTACGACTTGGTGGAACCTTTAGATGGAATTTTACCCAAAAATAACAATGTATTCTTCAAGCTCAAGATTCCTAATGTGTCTGGACTCACTGTAGAGGGAAAATATTCAGTTCCTTTGACTCTCAGTGTCCAGGGATACTGGGAAGGAACAGCAGGAACAGACGATTGTACAGAACTCTATGTTGTTGTTAATTATAAGGATCGACCAAACACCCGGGTGTATGTGCTGAAATATCAGGTACACTGAAGAGTGAGAAGATTGATAGATATCTTTGAAGGAGTAATGTCTTACAGTACATCTGACAGATGTGATTGAATAGGGTACCAAGGTGGGGATTTCTTTTTAAGAAAAAGTAATCTGAGCTACCAATGCAAATTGAAAACTCTGAAACACACATCTGCACACTCTGTGTATGAGCAGTGTAATATATAGTAATTTAGAGATATGGTAATATACTTACAACAAAAGACATACCCATCAATGTCACCCTTGAAAAAAACATGTTGCTTCTGTTGATCTAAAACCAGTCACCAATCCAGAACAATTTCAATTTTGCATTCATATTTTCAGCAACAATAAAACATCCTCTATAAGTCATGATTGGATTTTTTGCTGCCTCTGTACCCTTCAAAAGCTACCTGTATGTTAGAGATACATATTACACACACATAAACCTTGTACACAAATAAGAGCAATTTCAGAAAATCTGCTATATTATTCTCTGTGATACACACTCACCAAAGGAAAAATTCCCCTAAAACGTTATGGTTGCTCTGTACTGTACTTAATAAAAATCTCAACCAATGAGACCTAACTAAGCTAATCAAACCTGTTAAAGGGACACTATATAGTCACCCAGACCACTTCAGCTCAATGAAGTGGTCTGGGTGCCAGGTCCCCCATGTTTTAACCCTTCAGATGTAAACACAGCAGTTTCAGAGAAACTGCTATGTTTACATTGCAGGGTTAATCCAGCCTCTAGTGACTGTCTTCCTGACAGCTGCTAGATGCGCTTCTGCGACGCTGGATGCGAAAATTGCATTCAGCGTGCAAAACGTCCATAGGAAAGCATTGAGAAATTAATCACTGCTTTCATATGGATTGTTTGAATGCATGCGCGGCTCTTGCCACGCATGCGCATTTTGCTCCACTCAGGAGCTGACATCGGCGGAGGAGGAGAGGTCATCAGTGGCGAGGGAGCCTGGCGTTGGATTAAAGTCAGTAACTGAAGGGGTTTTAACACCTTCAGCACCAAGGGAGGGGGGCCCTGAGAGTGGGGGGTCTTAAGGATTACATAGGGTTATAAGTGTCAGGAAAATGAGTTTGTTTTCCTGACACTATAGTGATCCTTTAACATATTCTCCCTGCAATCTAACCTAATTTCATTAATACAATTTTGCAGTTTTGTGAATTAGAGTGGCACTATTCTAGGAGTTGCATGGATCATTAAAACGAAAGAGGACTGGATGTGTGTCCTATTCATCCCATGACCCCATTTCATTCCATCAACCCGTACACGTAGAGTTTATTCCTACACAACAAACCAAATTAAAGACTCTAAAATAATTCTTTAATTCACCGGGACTCATTGTAGTCTGCTGAGCACATCTTTTTCTACCGACACTAGGGGTGAGCGGCAAGAGGCCAGAACAATATCACACCCCATTTGTCAATCCTTGAAAGAGATGGGATGGAAAGGTATTAATAAAAGTATGAGTTACAGAATCAACCTTATGAGCCAGGACAATGTGGCCTAATAATAACTATATACCAGTAATGGAAATTGTTGATACTAATAACTGTAAACCAGTAATAGCAATGGTTTCAAATCCATGGTACAGAGTGTACCCCCAAACCTAGGGACACCCAAAAAGCCCATTATGCTTTCAATTACTATTTGGAGGGTGCAGGGGCGTACCTGGAGCATTTGGCACCTGGGGCGGATCCTATATTTGGCATCCTTCCAGGGGCGTACCTAGAGCATTTGGCACCCGGGGCGGATCCTGCTCTTGCTATATTTTGTCCACTGACATGTTGGAACCCAAGGCTGCATCATAGCTTAGTCTTTGACCGAGGGTTATGGTGGGGGGATCCTTGATTTGATGGGGTACCTAATCACCACTATGGATTTAATGTAGGCTAGACACTTTCTCTACAGAGTATCCCCTGGGACTCTGCCTTCCTCTAGGCAGCATACGTGGCTTACGTTTGTACTGCATGCAATGAGATTTACCCAGTTAAGGGTAGTGGTAACATTGTATCATTCTGTCGCTGTTTGTAGCAAGTACAGGAGGATTTCCCTTGCTACATATTTCGACTATATGCTGCTCCACTCTTTTTTATCTCCAGCAGTATGTTTATATTACAGCCTAGTAGAGTTCCTAAGTTGCATTTTTCAAGCAGAGCAAACAGGAGTGCATTAATGAGGGGCAACTACAAACTTCATCTATATCTATCTAAGATGAGAGTATTCAAAGCAAGTAGCAGTTGCTCCCAATGTCTAAGCTACGGCATTTGTGTTTAGGATACCAATAATTTTCCTGTGTGGCTATTGGATTTCTTAGAGTGATTATACCATTGGGGCATGTATCCTACACAAGAGATATTTTGCTATGTGCTTTTTTCTTTTGCCTAAAATGCAAAATGAAAAACAACAGAATCCCAGTGGGGTTATCTCACTATATAAGACACTACAACACCTTGGTGGGGTTCCCTTAGCCCTCACCAACAAATATACAATATAAAACAGACAAGGTGGAGTATCTTACATACAATGAATAATGACAATGTCCCAGGATGATTCTCCTATGGAGGAAAAAAGGAACAGATAATAGTGCAATATCGTTACAATAAATAAATGTTGTTAAATGAAAGTGAAGGTAGAACACTCACAAATGTGGAGCCTAAAGTTTAGGCTCAAACTTCAAGCGTTGTGGGATCTTGTAGGGTCCTACTCCCTCTTCTGTGTATATTAGGGTGGATTCCCTCTTCAATACGTAGTGAGGTAGATGCCCCTCTCAGTAACAGGGTTGCTCCAATAGTTTTCCAAAATAAGCTTTATGATATCCAATCAATATTGTAAAACAATGTATAAAATAGGTTAAAAAAAGTCCTTACAATTCGTAGGTTCTTTTTCCAAAATAGCAAAAAGTACTTCATAAAAATACTTAAAAATAGAAAAGAAAAATAAATAAATAAAAAGAATAATCATGACTTCTCTATTAAAAACTGTGTTACTAAATAGGTACATAAAACATGATAAATGTTAAGATGTTCTAAAATATAGAATTTTTATAGTTCCAACAATAAAATAAACATAAAAATTAAATTGAAAAAAATTAATTATATAGTATAGAATATGTGCTATACTGAAATGCTGGTTAAGAATGGTCTACTACGAATGTGAATATGTTACTCTAAATCAGAATCCTACTTAAAAATGGCACACCTCAAAATCTAAATTTAATCTGTGGGGCATTAGTGTACAAAAATTAAATATAAATTTAATCTCCTCTCTACCCATTTTTTTAATATAATTACCTCCTCTCCAATCTCTTTTAACGTCCTTAATTGCGCAAAAGGAGAGGCCTACCGGATTCTGATTGTGTACTCTTTTAAAATATTGAGAAACACTATGGGTTTCTAGACCATTTTTAATATTTCTCACGTGCTCTGCAATCCGGATCTTTAATGGTCTAATTGTTCTGCCCACATACAATAGGTTACATGGGCATTGTAGCACTTATATAACTCCCTTTGTGTGACATGTGAGATGGTCAGCTATGGCATATTTTTTTACTAGTAAATTGTTCTAGATTAGCTATATGTCGTCTTTTATTTTTAGTTTCCTTACATTGTAGACAGGAGCCACATCCGTAAAATCCTTTTAAATCTTGTAAAAAATGGTTAGATTTTTGGGGGCTAGGGTGACTATTAACTAAAATATTTTTACAATTTTTTGCCCCCTATAAATAATTTTAGGTTTCACCAATAAAATTTTATTTAGAACAGGATCATCTCTTAATTGGTACCAGTATTTCTTAATTGTTTTTTTTTACTTGTTTACTTTGTCCATGATAATTACAGATAAAGGTTATTCCATCCATTTTCATTGTGTTATTCTTTTGTCTATATCTAATCAATACCTCTCGTGGTTGGCTTTCTACTTTCTTTAAATCATTTTCCAATAACTCTTCATTGTAACCCTTCTCCAAAAATTGTTCTGGGAGGGAAATGGGCCTAGGGAGGGAGTAGAGATAAACAGTTATATCAAGGTATTTACAGCTAGAAGTGGCAAGCATGGGGGGAAGAGTGGGAGTGGACAAGAAACAGTGGTAAATTACAATTTTGCCAATCAAATCCTAACAGCCAGATTATTAATTAATGCATGTAGCTGCAAGTACAAGGTACCACAGCTGTACGCTATAGATAATAATGAGAACATTATTATAAATAAGTAATCTAGTGGCAAAGGTGAAATCCAGCGTAGCATCTTCTGAATTTCATTTTGTACCTTAAAGCTGTAGCATTCAATTGTAGAGGCTTGCAGTAGAGATAGTATGGAAAATGGGCCTAGGGAAATATGATTGATTGTATCGATGGACTGCATACAAATTCAGACCACACTAGGCAGGTTCTTGGAGAGTTTGTTTATTTAAAGGGTTACATTGAAAGTAGCTTTGAAGAGTCTCAGCTACAACTTAGATACAGGTTCATGGCCGGCCTTTGGGGTGTGCAAGCTGCTCGGCCGCACAGGGCGCCATGGCAACAGGGGCGCTGGGCGACTGACACAGCTCGCAGTCGGTCACTCACAGCAGGCCGCCCCGAGATTGTGTGAGGTGAGCTGAACCGCTGCATCAATCCTGTATGCAGCTGGCAGGTCAGGTCCGGAGCGCAGGCGCAGCATCCAAGTGCTGTGCCTTCACAGAGATCCGCGGAAGGATCCGCTCAATGTGTGAGGGCGGCGGCCGGTGCTCTGCAGACAGGGAGGGAGCAGCAGCCTTGAAAGAGTGAGTACCTGTTCTTATTGTTGTTGTTTTTTTTGTTTTTTTAAACCAAATATCCCTGGGGGCAGGGTATGATTAAGGGGGGCGGGGGACTGGCTATGGGTGACAGACACTGGGTATGATTAAGGGGGTCAGGGTACTGGGTAAAGGTGACAGGGTATGATTAAGGGGACAGGGGACTGGCTATGGGTAACACTTAGTATGATTAAGGGGGGAAGGGAACTGGGTAAAGGTGACAGGGTATGATTAAGGGGGGCAGCGGACTGGCTATGGGTGACACTGGGTATGATTAAGGGGGGCAGTGGCCGAGCGCCAACCTGCAGTGCCGCGGACTGTGTGGAGGGGGCGGGGATATGAACGCGTCATATCCCTGCTCCCTCTGTATCACACAGCACCTGGCGCCCAGCAGGGGAGGAGCTACCGCCGGCCCCCTTCTCATCAGCATGGGAGGACTTCCTCCCAAGAAGACTAAGGGGGAGCAGGGGACTGGGTAAGGGTAACAGGGTATTATTAAGGGGCAGGGGACTGGGTATGGGTGACAGGGTATGAT